ATAATAAAAGTTTAAAAATCACTGAAAGCTCATTTAATTCCTTTGATTCGTTAACTTGAAGAAAATGTTTTTCTGCATGAGTCAAGTTCATCAGCCAAATTGCTGTTGGTGAGGATGGCAGTGCTTCCAGGACTAATATGCAGGCATAGAGCTCGGTGGAGTTGGCGACCCATGTGAGTGATGGGGTCATGTCAGGCCATCCTATCAAAAGATTCAGCTCTGCCTAATGCCACACTACCACTTTAGAGGGAAGAAGCAAGAAGAAAGAGAAACAGTCTTTGATGACAGAGTCAAGGGCTTCCATCACAGCACAGCAAACGGCAGCCTCCTCGCTTAGAGAGTCCATAGACCCGGGGGACAAGCTGCGCCAATGGGCAGAATGGAGGGCAGTCCAGGGAGTTCCCGGTGGGTACATTACAGAAGGTTCACAAGGAGGCTCTGTGTTGGCTGCGGAGGCAACCGGGCTCCCAGGGTATGAGACTGGGAGCTCATTCATGTGACACTGTCTCTGATTCATCCCTCTGCCTGGACCTCTGGCTGAGCTGATTCCTGACTGGCGGACACGTTTTGGGACCTCTTAGGACACATTGCTCAGTGCATATAGATGGCCTCACCACAGTCACTGGGAAATTCAGGAGGGCCCAGGGTTGATGAGGCCTGGAATCCAGCACACAGATCTTTGTCAGAAGGTGGCTATTCAAGAATAATCCAAACTCCTTGGGCTGGGAGTCCACAAGGAGGAAGAGGCTGCAGCTGCCACAGCGCACGTCGCATCTGTGGGTCTAGCTAGGTTCTCAGCCACGGTGGTAACTCCAGTTGGTAGGGCTTTCTAGTGCCTTGTTAATAACAACTCCCAGCTTGCGAACATACCATGAGACCTTGTTGATTTGAAGACACACATCTTCTCCACACTCTAACTTCTCTGAAAGTGGGATCTATCTTGCAGCCAATGTGATAAAAAAGCATTATGCAGTTTAACAGCATATTTTTTCTCTCTGAAGAATACATAAACGTCCATCTTACTAGCCATGGCATCTCAGATTAGATTAAATATGGCATTTGCCAGGGAAGATACAGTTTCATTGATCCTCCAACAACCCCACGAAGTAAGATTATTACCCCATGGGTGGGATAAAGCACAGAGAGGCTAACCCATTTGCCCCACATCACACAGCTGATAGGGTGAAGAGTCCAGGTCTGCTGATTCCAAGGTCCCAAGCTCTTGCCTCTGGACCACACAGCCTCCCTTAGCGGAGGCCTGCTCTGGCTAGGGCTGACCCCATCCATTCCATCCAAAGGGTTCTCTACTTGGGTGGAGGAGGACTAGTGCCTCTGTGACCTGGGGTGATAGGGCCTAGGCTTAGGCACAACCACAGCTACAGCAGGCAAAAGGCAAAGGCCTTCAGCAGCAGGGTGGGGCTGGGGAGGTTATAACTCAAGAACGATAGGCTCTTAACTGCAACGATCTCTTTCCCTAACAGCTCCTTCTTGACTGTGGCTTGGGGAAGTCATAACTTCAAGTGTGAGTAGATGGCAGAAGAGCTGGGCAGATGAATAAGCTCCTGGCAGGCATCATAACTCCATCCCCCAGTGAGCAGCGCCCTTCAGATGGTGTCCAGACAAGCACAGGGACCTGTCCTGTCTCCTACCACCTCAGGAGGTGCCCTCGGGAAGGGGCCACTGGGGTCTGCCCGCCAGCTGCAGGCAAAGCCAACCCTGGAGCCCCTCCGCCTGCCTCTCCCCACCTTCCCCCACACACGTGGCCAGGCCGGTTGGCTCTCAAGGTCTCATAGTAGCGTCCTCGAGTTCCAAGCCCATTTCTTCCAAATGGAAGGCTCGGCTTACTCATCCTTCTCATCTCTGCTGAAATGCCGCTTCCCTGACTCCTCAGACAGGCTTTCACGCCCCACGATGTGCTCTCCAACTACCCCCAGACTCCATGATGATCACTGGGCATCTGTGCAATGCGCTGTTATGTGTGGGGCTCTCTGTATGAACCACAAGCTTGCTGAGGGCAGGAACCACATCTCCTTGTGAAGCACAGTGTCCCAAGGCTAGTCCCGGGCCGGGCATGCAGCAGGTGCTCTTGACCCATGCCTCTTGCCCTGGCTCCCGACCTGGGTTCTCATGATAAAACATTAGGGACCCTTCTGTTCAGGGACCCAAGCTTGCGTCATTATGGAGATGTGGGCCTGAGCCTTTGTCGGAGTCTGGGAGGCTGAGCACACTTTGCTCTCTGTCAACCGACAGGAGCTGAGCTGGCTCCGCTCCACACCTCTGCTTCTCCCAGATGAAAACCAGTTCCTTCTTCCTAGCATGCAAAGGGTACCAAGTTAGACTCAGAAAGGTGGGAAATTTCCTGAGGATCTGGATCCTAAAGTGGATTCCATTTTATACCATAGGGCCTTTGTGCTCATTTCAAATTCAAGGCTCTAAAACCCAGCAGGTGGTGATAATAGGCTCGACTCTTTCTTATTTAATTTTCATTTTGCTTCTTTTTTTTTTTTTTTTTAAAGCGACAGGGTCTCACCATGTTGCTCTGAAGTGACTTAAACAGCAGCAAATCTGAAAACGTAGAAAGGGCTTATCAAACAATATAAAAGTGGGACTCTCAGACAAACCAAATGAAAACTCAAACTCCTGGGCAAGGGCAATCCTCCTGCCTCGGCCTCCCAGAGTGCTAGGATTACAGGCATGAGCCACTGTGCCTGGCCCCCAACTCTTTCTTATATTTTTTCAGACACAGGTCTCACTATGCTGCTCCATCTGTAGTGCAGTGGGTCCCCACAGGCATGATCCCATTATAATCAGCATGGAGTTTTATGCCGCTTCATTTCCATCCTGGTCCTGTTTACCCCTCCTTAGGCAACCTGATGTTCCGCCACTCCCAGGAGGTCACCATACTGATGCCGAATTTAGTGGGGATACCCAACCTGCACAGCCCAGAGTTCCTGGGCTCAAGCTTTCCTCCTGCGTCAGCTTTCTGAGTAGCTGGGGCCACAGGTGTGTGCCACCAAACCCCACTAATGCTTATTATTATTATATTACTTTTTTGAGGCGGAGTCTCACTCTGTTGCCCAGGCTGCAGTGCAGTGCTGCAATCTTGGTACACGGCAACTTCTGCCTCCCGGGTTCAAGAATTCTCCTGCCTCAGCCTCCCAAGTGGCTGGGATTATGGGAATGTGCTGCAGCACCCAGTTGATTTTTGTATTTTTAGTAGAGACGGGGTTTCAACCATGTTGCCCAGGCTGGTCTTGAACTCCTGACCTCAGGTGATCCATCTGCCTCGGCCTCCCAAAGTGCTGGGATTACAGGTGTGAGCCACCATACCCACCCTAATATTTATTATTTTTTGTAGAGATGGGATCTCACTATGTGGCCTAGGCTGGCTCATAAACTCCTGGCCTCAAGCGATCCTCCTGCTTCAGTCTCCTGAGTCACTGGGATTGCAGGCTAAGTTGGGGCACCACCACAACCAGTTCAACTCTCCATCTTTCAGGTTTGATTTCACCATTTAAAACTACCTATTTGAAGTTTCTTTTGATACAAAGCATAAAGATCAAGTAAAAATTATTTGTTAAACGAAGCCCTAAGTAATTATCTTGCAGTCAACCAGGAAATAATTATCACTGATTTTTAAAATCACACTCTTAAACATAGATATATTTAGTTTAGACTCTACCTTTTTTCTATCGACTGGTACGTTCCCATATACCATACTGTTTTAGTTACTGTAGCTTTGTGTTACATTCTGACAGTTGGTCTTTTCTCATTTATCTTTTTAAAGACATTTTCTCATTTATTCTCACTTGTTTCTTCTTCCACGGGTAAGTTTTAGAAACATCTGGCCAATTTTTAAAAATTACAATAGGATTTTACTTTAAACTCTGTTAAGCCTAAAAAATCCATTTGAGAATTAACAGCACGGCCATTTTTCATATTCTCCTGGCATCTTTTTCTATTTCATAAAGTTCCTCAAAATAGCTTTACCTGCCCTTGTTATTTCCTCAGACAAGTAGATACAATTCTTTGTCAGGCCACAAAAATGTTTTATAAATTTAAAATTAAGCCAGAAGTGATTTAAACAGCAGCAAATCTGAAAATACAGAAAGGGCTTATCAAACAATATAGAAGAGGGACTCTTAGCCAAACCAAATGAAAACCCATTAACACTAGACAGCTCATGTGCCTGAATGGAATTTTACCATTAACTACCATTTATCCAATTTAATTAGCATTTTCCTGACACACAATAACTTGCACTAAAATATCGTTCTCTCGCCTTTAAATTTCTAATTATTGTTACGACCTACACCATTACGCATCTCCACTGCTTTCTCCATCTTTCATGCCATTTAAGCGGTAAGATTTTCAATTATCTATGCAGGACGGACAGAGATACCTTTAAGGAAAGGGGCATAATATGCAACTCAATTTCTCTAAAAGCCAGGAGAAATCATTTTTAGTCAGAACAAACACACTTTGTCTTTCATCACTTTTTTTTTTTTTTTTTTTGCAAATAAAGAGTAAAACAGGCTATTTAAAACATCCATTTAAATGCAAATTTTGATATCCCAAGAGAAAAATGTTAATCATTTAAATAGACAGGATTATCGCCCACCCTTACCACCTTACCACGTCCCTCCTCTCCCAAGTTTTACAAAATGTAGCCTTAGCCCACACAAGTTAAGCCAGCCAGAAGTCCTTACATCTTAAGAACTCCCACTCAGACAAGAGGGCTGAGGCAGAGAGAGGGGGACTTTTCCTTCTTTTGAGAAAAGAGCGATAACAGTATAACATATCCTATAAGCCAGGCATGGGGCAAGATTATAAATACACACATGCATGCGCATACACATAATCATCACAACTGTCTTGGAGGGGAAACTGAGGCTTAGACAGGTGAAGCAATTTGTCCCACTGGTAGATGACCCAACCGAGAGTAGAGACTTCCACAGCCCTCCCAGTCCACGGTGACCTGTGGTCCTGTCCAGACTCACCTAGCATCCCCATGCCAAGCATGAACGCGTCCATGGTGTAAGGCAGTCCCCGGGCCCGGCCTCTTGTCCCAGGTGGGAACATGACTTCTTTCGGCTGAGCTTTCTTACATTCTACCTGTTAAACAGAAAGTCGAACAAATGAGATGCAAATGAATTCCACGTAAATGTCAAATGCAGAACCGATCTGGTTACGAGCTAAGTTATTTTTAGCCTTGCTCCTTACCCACTGTCAAAATAGCCGTGCCGAGTAAATGGCCCGCAAAATAAATACTTAAGAAAACACGCCACTTGTGCGAATCCTGCTTCGGAAAAAACTACAAGGATGAAATTGGGTTCTGGAGGGGCGGCAAGGACGACGTAAGCCGAAGATACACACACAGTGAAGCTCAGGCTGACTCGCGTGCAGAAAGCATGACAGATAAGGAGGCAGACAGTGGTTGTTGGGTGCGTCTGTGAATAATAACAATCACAGCAATAATAATAATCCCTCAGGATTTTTCAGTCCTTTACACTTTTACAAATGCCCCTGACGTTCTTTCGGACCAGCGACTCTTCATGCCAGGGCGTCTGATTCTAACTCTTATTAAAGAGACGGGCCGCTTAGCCTTCAATGCAGTTCATAGATGAGAAAACAGAGAATCAGAAGTCTTGCGTTGACCGGGCAGGGGGATCATGTCTGTAATCTCAGCACTTTGGAAGGTGGAGGCAGGTGAATCAGCTTGAGCCCAGGAGTTCGAGGCCAGCCTGGGGAACACGGTGAGAAACCCATCTTTACTAAAAAACTACAAAAAACTAGGCGGTGTGGTGGCGCACACCTATAGTCCCAGCTACCTGGAAGGCTGAGGTAGGGGGATCACCTGAGCCTGGGAGGTCAAGGCTGCAGTGAGCCATGATCACACCACTGCACTCCAGCCTAGGTGACACAGCCAGATCCTGTCTAAAAGAAAAAAATAATTCTGTGTAACATGCTGAATGAATGCCCTTCCCAACAGGTGCAGGCCTACAAACCAGATCTTTAGAATTTCTAGGTCAGCAATGCCACATTTCCACAAAACCTACACCACCACCAAGCTCCTGAGGGAAGTAATAAGATTAAATACTGATTCTGTTCATCTGGATTACTAGTTTCTCATTTTGCAGCTACATTTTCAAGTGCGTGCTAATCTCCCCTTTCTGTTTCCCTTCTGACTCTAAAATTTCTTCATGCTAATCTGCTTGTATACTCAGAGGTCACTTATTTAATAACCTGAACTATACAAAATACAAACCTCAGGGAATAAGTACAACTGTGGTCCGTGGAAGCCCCTTCACTGTTTTACCAGAGCGCCTTAGGTCTGTGCTTATTAGCACTTACTTGCTTTTTGTTTACGAAGAAATTTAACAAGCATTGTTAGTTAGTAATCAGTCCCAATGCTCAGGAAGATGGGATGTTGCAGGGGAAGGCACGGATACTTTTAACAGTCAAAAGAAACGGCATGACAGCCTGATAGTGATGGAGAAAGGACAAGAATCAGGTATCTTATTTAAAGAGCAGTCTGAGCCATATGGTATAGGAGCAAAAACTCTACATAGTTAGACAGCTGCTGAGGTATCACTGTAACACAGAAAATTACAGTTGTTCACTGTGTGCCTGAGATATCAAGAAACAAGTTAAATTGTGTGCAAGATACATTGTTTAAAAAGGGACCTCTAGGCTGGACGCAGTGGCTCAGCTCATGCTTGTAATCCCAGCACTTTGGGAGGCTGAGGCAGGCAGATTGCTTGAGTTCAGGAGTTCGAGAGCAGCCTGGTCATCATGGCAAAACTGTCTCTACTAAAAATACAAAAAAATTAGCCAGGCATGGTGGCACGCTCCTATAATCTCAGCTACTTGGGAAACTGAGGCAGGAGAATGGCTTGAACCCAGAAGGTGGAGGTTGTAGTGAGCTGAGATTGTGCCACCGCACTCCAGCTTGGGTGACAGAGCAAGACTCTGTCTTAAAAAATAAACAAAATAAAAATAAAAAGAGACCTTTATGGGTTATCCATTTTGGAGATACTCTCACCCCAAACACTTCAATCCAAAAACATTTTAGTGCTCAAGGTTAGGCGGAGCTTTAATGGCCTAGGATATAAGTCCCCTTTCTTCAAAGACACCAGGTAACAGGTATCACTCTTGCTCTTTCAAGAATGATAACCACGAATGCCTTAAAAATGGACAAAATGGTTCAACATTCATAGCTGATATGCTCAATACAAAGAGTTCTAGAGATTAAAAGAGACGAGCACCCCAAAAGAGACATGGGTAAAAGACATGAGTAGACAATTCACAGACGGCGAAAGAAGAACACATTCCCCAAGATGAAGCGTATTTTTTGCCCACAGATTGACAGTGGTGAAAGCATTGTTTGATGTAGGAGTTTCTAAGGGTATGGTGCAGAGGGGTGGAAACTGGCATGTATGTTTCTGGAGGGCAACCTGACACTATATCAAAAGCCATAACTTTATACATACACCTAGTAATCTTACCTCTAGGAATTTGCCCTAAAGGAATTAGAATTTTTCTATAAAAGGAAACACCTGAAATATTGAAGAACAGGGAATTGGCCAAGTTTGGTTTATCCACACTGATTGAATGCTATGCAGCTATGAAAAAGTGTGTTGATAATAATTACACACTGGTGCTGGGAAACACCCAGTCCCAGGCAAAGCAGGACAACTGGCCACTCTAACTGCAAGAAGGAAAAAAGCAAAGGACACTGACTTTCTGAAAAACAAGCAAGTGTGTATATCACATAGGGAAAAATGCTGAAAAGACTTACTAAAGTGTCTTAGAATGACTTTGTTTTTTTAATTTTCATTGTGCATTTTGCTATTTATTTTCCCAGCTTTCTGCTAAGAAACAGGGAGCAGGTTTTCTTTTCTTTCCTTTTTTTTTTTTTTCTTTTTTTTGAGACAGAGTTTTGCTCTTGTTGCCCAGGTTGGAGTACAATGGGGCAATCTTGGCTCACTGCAACCTCCGTCTCCTGGGTTCAAGTGATTCTCCTGCCTCGGCCTCCCAAGTAGCTAGGATTAAAGGCATAAGCCACCACGCACAGCTAATTTTTTTGTATTTTTAGTAGAGATGGGGTTTCTCCATGTTAGTCAGGCTGGTCTCAAACTCCTGACCTCAGGTGATCTGCCCACCTCAGCCTCCCAAAGTGCTGAGAATACAGGCATGAGCTGCCATGCCCAGCCAGGAGCAAGTTTTCATAAGATAATGCGATAGACTGTCACTGATAGGGCTATTAGAATATTGTATTTGCAAATAGAGGGGGGGAAGGTGATTAAAAACAACAAACTCATCCAAACTGGGTCTTTTAGGTTTGCTTCCTAAGCCCAGACGTGAAATCTGGCTTCAAGAGCTCCAGAGGAGCAGATTGAGAAATTTCATTTGCATGAACCTGCCCTGAGCCTGGGAAGATGGGCGTGTCTCCCACAGGCAGACAGATAATTATCCAAAGCCAACACCAGCAAGGAGAATAATGCCGCTAACCAGCTCACTTCCTAATAGCCCTATCGGTGACAATCTACTGCATTGTCTTATGAAAACCTGCTGCCTGTTCCTAGGCAACCTGATCAACGGAAATCTCAGGTTTATACAATTTTCATTTAGGGAACATAAAGGTTAACTGACTGTAATGGGAGTGTTTTAAACAAACCCACCTACTCTTCCTCTCACTGAACAGGGCTGACAGGTCCGTTTAATTCTGCTCTGTCTTTGCTGGTGGTGGTTTGGGCAGCAATGACTGTTTGAATGTCAACCACCTGCTGGGTTAATGGTGAGTGTTCCCTAAGGCCAGGGGCCATGGCACACACACTCTCTGGGGGACCCCGGACTGTCCTGGGCATCTGAAGACAGGGAAGGCAGCAGTTAACAGTTAACAGCAGGGAACCTGGCCAGCCTGCCCTGAAGGTCTCTTGAAAGACTTCTCAGGCCCTGAAAGCCTGTCCAACTCCCCCCCACGCCCTCCCCACCCCCTGAGACTCAGCCACTTAATTCAATGATTCTGCTGCGCAGGAACTCAACATGGCAGGCAAGTGCTAGGCTTTGGGGACCCGAAGATAAATAAGAAAAGCCCCTACCTCTCTGAGAGCTCTCACTGTATTGAAAATGAAGAGGCTCTGACTGTCTTGTTCTCCTAAGATTAATGCAAGTACTCACACATCAACTTGCCCCTCACCACTTCTGCACCTGTCAACCTCCCGAGCCTCTTGAGTTGGCCCTCACTGGGTCACCTTCCCCGGCTGTCTTCCCCCAGGCCCTGTGCAAGCCAGAGAGCTTGGCATGAACAACCCGGGTTGCAGTCGGAACACAAACAGGTTAAGAAACTGGTCTATCTTCTCGGTTCTAGTCATGTACTTAGGCTACCTGGCCACACAGTCTGTTCCAGGTATCTACTGCTGAGCCACACACTGTCCCCAAACTTAGTGGCTTTGAGCAACAATTCAGTCATCCTTCCTCAGGGTTCCGTGGGGTGACTGGCTCAGCTGGGCTCTTGCTGGTGGTCGCATGGCACTGTGGTCAGATGGTGGCTGGGGCTGAAGACAGAGGAGGCCTCAATGAGGCTGGAGGCCCAAGGTGGTTCCTCGCTCACATGGCAGGCAGCCACGCTGGTTCGGCCGGGGTCTGCTGATGGGGCGTCCACCATGGCTCTCCATGGTGCCTGGTCTTGTCACAATATGGCGGCTGGGTCCCAAGAGGAAGTGTCCCAAGCACGAGCATTCCAAGAGACTCAGGTGGAAGCTGCCAGGCTTCTTCTAAACTAGCGTGGGGACTCACAGTGTTCCTTCCCACACATTCTCCTGGTGACACTGGGCCAGCCTTGAGTCCGCATGGGAGGGGACTCTAGGGATCATCTTTGGAGACCAAGAGGTCAGTGAAGGGCAGGGAGCTGACAGGGCAGCAGGAGGCGTTCCTCACACTCTAGCTCTTGGCTGGCTGGGTCCTTGGAGCAGTGGGCCCCTAGGGCTGCTCTCACCACAGGGCAGAGGGCGGGGCACGAGGGCTCCCTTCCTGCAGCCCAGAGGGGCCTGCCTGGCTCCCCATGCTCCTCTAAAACAAAACAAGTATGGTGCCGATGGGACCAGGGCTCT